TTTTGGATTTTCGAGACAGGGTTTCTCTGCGTAGCTTTGCGCCTTTCCTGGAGCTCACTTGGTAGCCCAGGCTGGCCTCGAACTCACAGAGATCCTCCTGGCTCTGCCTCCCGAGTGCTGGGATTAAAGGCGTGCGCCACCACCGCCCGGCCAGACTTGACTTTTGAGACAAGGTCTCACCACGTTACCCAGGTTGGCTTTGCATTTGCTTTTCTCCTGCTTCAACCTCCAGGGTAGGTGGGGTTGCAGGCCTGCACCATCAGGCTCAGCTTAGAAGTGGGATTTCTAAGTGAGGATGCAGGTAAGTTTGAGGATCTTGGTGTATGTTACTCATGGCAGAGGTTATTTATAGTCCTTCTAGAAATAAACAATTTGAAGTTAATACTTAAAAGACATTTGCAGATTGCAAAGGGCGACAGTTCAAACACATGTTTCTTAATGAAGGTTGGGTTTGTTCATGTTAATGGCTTACTAGGGTAGTGGCGGCTCCTCTCTGAAGAACTTGTTTGAGAATGGCGTTGTCCATGTTTGCAGTCTTGGAGAGTTTGCCCCTTTCCTTGGCTTACCAGTTCTGATGAATGAAGACTGCCTTTTCACCCTTTGTCAGGCGATTCTTCTTCAGTGGGCCATTTGCCTTTCAATACAGTTTATGATGTTTATCTTGGCTTTATCCAAGAGTCTGCCTTTGCTTGTGTGCCTCAAAGAATTTTTTGTTTTGTTATCACCCCCCTTCTATTATGTGTCCATTGTGGTGTCCCCACCCCTGTCCCATCCCCTGTCCTTTGTGTGTTATGTCCATATTATTGCCCTCCCCCTCCCCCGACGATATAGCTCTGACTATTTTGGAACTCACTATGTAGACCAGACTGGCCTCAAACTCAAGAGACAGTTGTGGGTATTGGGAATAGAACTGGCATCTTTTGCAAGAGCAGTGTGGGGTCTTAACTGCTGGGCCATCTGTCCAGTCCCTTTATTCATGTTTTATGGTTAACCTTTCACTGGGAAGGAATTTTAATTTTTGTTTCCATACATCAGCTCATTTAGTCTGTACAGCCTTGGGGTGAAAGAGCAGTGTTTGCTCCATAACAGATTTCATCTACCTGGACACTGGCTGAGGGAAGAGCTGCATGTCATTTCCTGCAGAATGTGTAACAGTTGGTTCAGTATCAGAAGCCGCCATGCCTTCTGCTTTGTAAGGCTGTTTTAATGGGATAGTACAGGCCTATAAAAGTGCCTTTTATGTCTTGGGCCTATTTCTGGGCCCTTAATATTTTTAAACTGTTAATCATTATGGCTTTAATGGGTATTAATACTCAGTAGAACGAGTCCTCTTTAAGTTTTGTGACACACAACCTACAAAAAAGTATATAAAATCCGACCAGTTTAATGGATAAAGGCAGCAGCTGTTGGATCAAAGCAGACGCAGAGAAGCTGCTGGCAGCCCTCCCTCCGTATCCATGTGTGTGTCCCCTCTTGGCACACTCTCTTCCCCAAAGGAGTCGCCGCTGTCCTGACAGTGGCAGCATCTCCTGAATCCTCTTTTGTTATTTACCATGCATGCATGTCCACTTCGGACTTCTACAAAGATTCTGTTTAGGGGATTCATGTCAGGTTGATTAATTTTCATTGGGACTAATATATCATGTGCTGTCCATTAGTATGTGGTTTCTTCAGTGATTGACATCATTTGGGTTTAGGGCATGGAAAGCAGTGAGACAGTCTCTGTGCACATCTGAACATTTTTGGTTTTGTTTTGAGACAAGAGTCTCACTTTAGCCTGGCTGGCCTGGAACTCACTGTATAGACCAGACTTGAACTCACAGAGATAGGCCTGCCTTTGCCCTCCCACGGCTGGGATTAGAAGTGTGTGCCACCATGCCTGACTTCGAACGCATTTTATAGAATGTAGTCCAGGAGTGGAGTTGCTGGGTAACGCTGTCTGTCTGCCATTACATTTTATGCTCCCATCACCTCTTGATGGTATAAGAAGTTCATTCGGCCACATGTGGCATTGCCAGACTGTAGGTTCTTTAAGTATTCCTTGTGGCTGTATTTGTTATTTTCTGCTGTGGCGCTAGAAAACTGACAAAAAGCAACTTGGGGAGAAAAGGTTTACTTGGTTCACAGTTCCAGAGGGGATGCATTCCGTCATGGGGACAGGGGCCCAGGTAGCAGGAATGTGAGGCCCGGCAATCACATGTCATGTGCCAGAAGTAGAGTCAGGATGCAGAACATTAAAACCCACCTACAGGTTCTCCCTTCCAAACAGTGCCCCAGCCTGGGATGAGCGGTCAAACACATGGACCTGTGTGGGCATTTCATACCCAATACTGGTTTTCTTTTGCATCCCCTAATTAGGAATGACATTGAGGTGACATCACATACTTAGCTCTTTTCAGAAGAGCTTTTTACATACAGTCTATTTGCATATCCTTTTTATTGTGTTTTGTTAGCGCTCTACTTCCTTACTGGTGCATACATAGATGCATAGATTTAATTAATTTTTGGTACTCAAAGAACTTAATATTTGTTTAGTTATATTTGCTGTAAATATCCTCTGCATTTTTTGGTATTTCATCCTTTTTATGGTGTATTGATAAAAATACTTAATGGCAAATCTATCTAAATTTTTCTTGAAAGGGATCTTTTCCTGTCCTGAACTTATCAATTTTTAGTCTTTTGTAATGATTTATTTTTATCTTACGTGTATGGGTGTTCTGTCCGCATGTATGTTGGCACCACATGTGTGCATTGTCCACAGAAGTCAGAAGAGAGCGTTGGTTCCTCTAGTTACTTTTCTGTTTCTGTGATAAACACCAGGGCCAGGGCAGCCTAAAGAAGAATTTATTTGGGGTTGATTGCAGCGAGCAAAGAGTCCATCCTGGTGGGGAAGTGTGGCAGCAAGTGGCAGGCATGGTGGCCAGAGCAGGATGCTGAGCTCACATACTTAACTGCAGGCACGAAGTTAGGGAACTGGACAAAGCCTGCCTAGTGATGCATTCCCTCCAGCAAGACCACACTTAAGCCTCCCTAAACACTGCCACCAACTGGGATCAAGCATTCAAATATCTGAGCTTATGGGATCCCTGCTTACTCTACATGTTGGACCACATGGTGACTACCAACCATCTGTAACTCCATTTCCAGAGAGTTATGTGTGTGTGTAGGTGTGTGCTTGTGCGTCGGCATATGTGTGTGATGTCCTCATGAGGGTGACATGTCCTCCTCTATGACACTCTACCTTGTTCCTTTGAAATAGGGTCTCTCCCTGAATCCAGAGTTCATGTTTTTCAGCTAGGCTG